TATATAAATGGGAATCGTTTGAACTAAAAAAATGTAAAGGTATTATGCCAGTGTCTTATATTAGAAAAATAAGTTATACGTTTCATTTAATTCTCTACATATGCACAGGTACATACATACATATGTACATAGATATTATTATATCCGATATAAAATTTTTACCAACACGTACCTTTTGCATATTAAAAAGCACGAAAGCAATATTAATTTGTTAAATGGGTTGCCTTGCATATAATCAATTACCGTTATTAACTTTTAGCCACTATCTGTGATCTATGATTTTTGATAATCAATATATTAAAAAATATTGTAAGTGAAATGTAATAAGTATATTTGATCAAAATTCAAAGCTAAAAGTGTTTCAGTAATTTTAGGAGCTGCCGGTAATTCGTAATATTAATTGATGTGACATTATTATTTAGTATTATTAATATGTCGTCCAACAAAGTGAAGCCATCGCCATTCCAGCGCCACCATATTGGTTTAAATCAATTCTTGCGACAGCCACCAACACATAACTCTATTTTTAAGGACATGCGAATAACATTATGTGTTTTGAAGGCAACAGGTCTGTTACCTATCTACGAAGAGGTTTCTAGTTATGAAGTTGGACCACCTACAAAGTCAAACATTTATTATTCATTTTTCATTCGAGGGGTTGTACAAATTTTCACTTTATTCAACCTCTATAACCTGATAACGCCTGGATCAGCACAACTGTTTTACTCCTACAGTGATACGGATAATGTGAATAAATGGATTGAGTATTTATTGTGTGTGTTATCTCATTCAGCGACTGTTATGATTTGTGGTAGAAATTCAAAACTGTTCATAAAGATCTTAAATGAAATATTGAAAGTGGATGAAGATGTCTTCGACCGATTCAGAGAAACTCTGGAAAATAAATGTGGATTCTCACTAAAGTACATTGTGGGCATATGTATTTGCCAATGGTATTTAATCGTATTACGCGTGTTAGCTGTTAAAGATACTCTTAACGTAAACTCATATATATTTCTATTTATCTACGCCGTGCAAAATGGCATGGCAACTATTTTCATTGTTTTTACGGCGGCTTTATTAAGAATCCTAAAGATGCGTTTCGCTCACATAAACACAACCCTTAAAGGTTATACGTACAGCGAGCAACATAAGTTACGACGTATACCAGGACGAGATAGGGATGTAATTACAATGGATTCTTTTCCTGAGGATTCTCTATTTATATACCGTTTGCACAATAAGTTGCTACGGATCTATCGTTCAATTAACGATTGCTGCAGCTTGATTTTGGTGGCATATATGGGATATGCTTTCTACACTATTACCACTACTACCTATAATCTATTTGTTCAAATAACAACACAGCGCTTATCATTCAATGTGTTACAAACGTGTTTTGTGTGGCTAGCAATGCATACTTGCGTCTTGGCATTACTGTCAAAAAATTGTGGACAAGCCACAGATGAGGTAAATATATAAGTACATATGTGACTAATTACTTTGAATTTCGTTTTTATTATTTCTCTATAGGCTAATAGTACTTCGCAAGTTTTGGCTCGTGTCTACGACGCATCTAAAGATCATCAAAATATAGTAAAAAAAAAAAATAAAAATCATTAAGCAAATAATAATTAAAGTTTAACTGTAGGTGGACAAGTTTTTAACAAAAAGTATTAAGCAAGAGGTGCAATTCACTGCTTACGGATTTTTCATAATTGATAACTCCACACTTTTCAAAGTGAAGTATTATAATAATATAATAAATGTGTACAATTGTAGTCAATTAATATTTATTATTAGATCTTCTCAGCTGTAACAACTTACTTGGTTATTTTGATCCAGTTCAAACAATTGGAAGATTCAAAAATGGAGGATGACTCGAGTTAAATTGTGAGAATATAACAAGTATTTCCTTTTCACTATTACCAAATTATTAAATACATATTTATTCAATCAGACACAATACAGCATCATCATAGCTCTTAAACGAATATTTCAAATTTCAAATTAAATGAAAATGTTAAAATTTTCACTAAAATATACGGTAATTGTGTAAATATTAAATATTTTTAAATTTTTGTAATTCATTTAATGTAAAGTTAAATAAATATTGTATATTTTGAAGCTTGAAGTCTTTGTTGCAAATAAAAGAATTACCTACATAATTTCTAGTTTGGCATCTTCATTTAGCAATCGACAAGTTTAGGTTTTCGTCTTGTTTCTCCAAAAAGGAATGAGCACATTCTGTCCAGGGCGAAAGCAGCCAAAGTATCCGCCAGCAAAACAAAAACAAGCATTTTGCGAAACTAAGTTGTAAAAAAAGATTAATTGGCATATTGGAAAAAACAATGTTCATCAATTTTTATTATGCAAACCATTTTGATCAGTTATAGCAATATTATTGAATTTACTTACATCTTCGGGGAATGATACAATTTCAAAAGTTTCTGTAAGTTCAGATGAGATGTCCAAAGAAAGAAATAAAACTAAGCCCGTTGACACTAAAATGGATATTAGTAGTGGACGATTTTCACGCAAACTCTCCATAAAAGGATGCCCCTGTTAAGATTTTAATTTTGAGTAGTATAACTAAGATTGCTACTTTTTATACCTTGTGGTTAACAGCGAAGGTAGACACTTGTAGAGCAAGACAAATTATGTAAACAGTGCTATTTATGATATTGGGTTGAAAAGTTTGCTTTTCTTCTGGATCCATATCTATATAGAGTTTCACTTTCCCTGTTCTTTTGCGTAAAGATATCTTCAACTTAGTAATGGGTAATTACGGGTTAATTAAAACTAATGAACTTACCTTTCAGGAACCCGTTCTGTTGCCTCTTGTGTTAAATAGTAAAGTGCGCCAAAATGTACGGCAAATTGGCAAAGTATCGTTGATACACTATAAAAGTTAAATATATTTGGCAATGGTGCAGTTTTCGATAGGGTCTTCAGCGGCTAATTATTTTAAAGGATGAATGAATATTATTCATTAAAGATTATTTATTATAAATGTTTACCTTTGAACGTGTTATACATAAAAAACAAGCAGCTATAAAGAGACCCTGAAGAGTGGCTTGCATGTCACTAAATTTGACTCCGTCAATATACAAAACAGATTGGCAATAAGCAGATATGAGTGCGTTTAATGCTAATATTTTGAACATTTGTAGGGTAGTTACCAAGGTACAACGTCCTTGTTTGATAATGTGATTTACTATTAGAAGAAAGGTATTAATAAAACAGTTTCCATTCACTATATACAACGTACCACATGCTATAGATGATGTCTTGCTTGTAAATGGTGCGGCTATACTAGCATCTCCCAATTTTACCACGGACGTTTCTTCATATATATCTTTAAGTTCAGATTGCAACCGCGCTTGAGTAGCATTTAAGTTTTCTCTCTGACGTAACATTGCACGATCACGCTGTGACACGGTAAAACGCTCCATCGTATTGGAGGCACCAGTTACAGTATTTCTTACACCACCTAGGTTTCGAACATTTACAGCGGAATTACCAGATAAATATGCACCTGCATCAGAAAAAATTGATTCAGTTCCATTTGTGATATCACGCCTCCTTTTAGGTTTAATTGGTCCATTACTCAGAAGCGATACACCTACATGGGCATGTTTAAGGGCACCTACATCATTAGTACCATCCCCACACATAAGTGTGTAATAACCTAGATGCTTTAAAGAAGTGATAACATATTCCTTTTGTTTAGGTGCAAAGCGTGCGCACACTGTAATATACGGTAATATTTTTAATAAATATAAATTTTCTTGTTCTCTAAGGTACTGTAAGCCTTCTCCAGTAATACATAGATCATTTCCACTCAGCAATGCTTTCAATTCGTGTTTAAGATCAAAAACAGACTCTGTGTCAATTGAAGCCCATTGCCATTTAATACACTTTTCATTGGGGTTTTCGTTACGAGTAAGAATTAGTAGCTTTTTACGTGTAAAACGTAATTCTTTGGCTACGTGACAAGCTGTAAGTGGGTTATCTCCTGTAATCATTACAACTTTGTGCGAAGCATGAATAAGTTCTTTGATTACAAATTTAGAATCGGGTTTTATAGGACACGATATTATAACAAAACCAGCAAAAGTCAAATCACTTTCTACATCCTCTCTTTTCAAATCTCGGACACGTTGCGCGTCCATTGGGCCAAACTTCTTTATACCCAACGCTAAAACTCGTGCACCCCGACGAGAATACTCAAGAAATGTCTGCAAATATCAAATGTAATTTAGCATTTGAATATTAACAGAGACGTAATCTGCCCAAGCTCTTACCTTTTCATAATTCTTAGGGACTTCTTTTAACATTTTCTGAATAACTTCAGGGGCTCCCTTTACAGTGCCAATATAAACTTCATTGCTAAATGGTTCCAAATAGCTAGCTAATACAGACATCCTTTTTAATGCTGAAGAGAAATAATAACGATGAAAAATACGAAGAGGTTTTAATTTTCCTCGTTTTGGAATAACAGTGTCTTGTTTCGTTAAACTCCAATCGGCCGCGGTAAGCATTGCCTTCTCAAGGGGATCTCCAACCAAACCATCGTCAATCATTACTAAGGCGTGGCATGTTGCGACAGCTTGTATTGTTATGTCTTCAGCTTTTTCCATTGGTATAACTACATAGTCATCTGTTAAGCCCGCTATACCTTCAACCATCAAATTATCCGATGTAAGAGTTCCAGTCTTATCAAAACAACAAATTTCTACTTTTCCAGCAAAGGGAATACGGAATGGCTCAGTGCAAAACACAAAGAGCTTTGACAATTGCATAAGCGATGTATTCACTGCTAACGTTAATTCAATTGGCAAATCGGGTGGAATAATAGACGTCAATATTAGAGTGCACTCTAAGAATAATTTATAACGGCTTCGATCTGGATCCTCGGTGCCCTTAATCCAAACATAAACAGCAGCTGCAACAGCAAATACCATAAGAAATAGGATGAAAGCAAAAGTCTCCAGATTATTTTCGGTTACGCGATTTACACCAAAGAGAATAGTTCTTAATAATTTTCCCTGAGATGTATTGAACCCAGTGCGTAATACGTAGCCAATACAACCACTATCAGGGGCTCGCAATGCATCCTTTGTAGGAGCAGTGTGTTGAACAACTTTAGTTCCTCCAAAAAGAATGAACAATTTGCTTTCACCTTCCATATCAAGTTCTTTATCCAAATGATCCAACGTTTCTAATGATTCTTTCATTTGAGGCACCGACTCTCCTAAATATAAAATGCTTACATTTACATATCCTTTTATAATATATATTTCTAGCTTTAAACTCACCCGTCAACATACTCTCATCAACTATACAATTACCACGTAGTAAGACGATGTCACAGGGAACCAAATTATCGTTTTGTGATCTAGTTATAGATACAATATCTCCTGGAACTAATTGATCAGAATTTATTAGTCTCCATTTATTTTGCCGCAGAGCATTTAGCACATATGGTTTGTTTCCCATTTTTCGTATTTCGGACATATTATGAAGTTGTTGACCAACAAGAGTACACTCAAAAATAATCATCATAAATAGTGTAAATAATGAATAGTACCAATATTCGTCCAAACACCACAAAGCAACTGAGAATATTTGAAAAACAAAAAATGGTGCAGTGGCACGTTCAATGAATAATTCATAAAACTCTGGTACAACCATTTTCATTTCATTTAACCCATATAATTGTTCAGCTAATTTAACAGCGCTTTCAGTTTCGTGTCCACGACTGCGTGTATAATGGCGTAAGGTTTCGTGTATAGGAAAAGCTATTCCACGAAATGTTTTCCTCTCTTCATCCCAAACATATTTTGTTTTTTGAAAAATAAAATATAGCTGCTTATTACCGTTAGCTAATCTAATGCTGTTTATTTGAACTAATTGAGATGATCCATTGTTTGCTGTGGGTATGACTTTAGCTAAAACGCCTGCCCCTGGTGTTTTGACATTGCGGCAATTAAGAAATGTAAGTACATGAACACTCCAATAGCAACAAAGTAATGCTAAAATCTGAATGAAAGCGATTACAGCGACAGTGATAAGACCGGCTTCATAGTGTACATCAACGCCGTAAATAAAAATCCAAGCATAAAATGCACCCAAATATAAAATGACAAAAGGCATTACTATGCCGCTTAGGGCTATAGGGTTCCGAATATGTAAAGTCACACTTTGTACTAAATCATCAAGCGCAGATTTTTTATTTAGTTTGACGTTATTAGCACCTGATGTTCTCGCAACTACCTCCAAGTCTGGTTTTCCCTCATATTCGTAATCCATTACAATCTTTTAAATTCTCCTTATTCACTCCCTATTTTTGACTATTAATTGCGAGATGTTTCTTATTATATCAAAATGATTATTTTTTTAATTTTCAAAGCGTCACCACAATATAAATTATAATTCAGCCAGTGCCCTTTTATACTTTCCGATATGCTCTCGATTGTCATTTCTTGAAGACAGACATGATATTATGACGTGTTCTGATGTTACCACGTTAAATGAATTAGTAGTTTTATTCTTACTATTTAGCAGTTCCATAGACAATTGTTTACTCGATAAATTTGTCATATTAAATATCGCTCCTGGTGTTTGCTTACGGAGCATCTCGACAGGATAAAATCTATGTCTTACTAACTCTTGTTGTATTGCCGTGCCTTTTGCCTGTGGAGACTCCACATTGCTTATTGCTTACAATATATGGAATACTAATTAGTTTGCTATATATTGTAAGCAATAAGCAGCCACTTCAGCAGTTTGGCGGAGCAGTTTTCATTTCTATGAAAATTTCGAAGAGGCAACATATCTCATTTGCACATATGCCGACGGCATTTTCATTTCGATAATATGAAATTTAGAAGAGCGAGTATTAAGATGGTTGTGTTATATTATAAAAATAAAGTACATTTTCAAAATAACATTATTCCAAAATATTAATATTTAGTTTAATAATTAATTTATGGCAAATTATGCAAATTGGGTTGGGAATGACCGAAGTCTTAAATTAAAAAACTTATACAAGCATAAATCAAAATATCTTTGCTCATTTCAAATTTATTATTTTAATTGGTATATTTATGTCACAATTATTATATAGTGGTCGAAAAATATGAATTCTTATTTTTCCCAGAAATACGTTTGTGGAAAAAAGGATCTTTTTCCTTTGTTATTATCTTATTTTTCCCAGAAATACATTTGTAAAAAAGGATCGTATTTTCCTCATAAAAACCACATCAGCAATTTCAAGAGTTCAAAGCATGCGCTACATCAGCTCGAACCTACCTACCCTACGCCTTTGCGCAAATCATTATGTCAAGATAACAAATGCCCACATACACAATTGGCAATGGCAATAGCAATAGATTTGACAGTTAGTAAGACATAGATTTTATCCTGTCGAGATGCCCCGTTAGTGTAAGTGGTTATGTGTAGTTATCAGATTTTTATATTCTTCAGTAACGATTTTTACTACGATTTTATTTCGATGAAAAATTGTTTTCTCTAATTCGAAGATTACGTGTCTCATATGGTCAGATACAAGAATGATAGTTAATTTATTAAATACCCAATCTGAAAATTTTCAGCAGTGGCATCATTGGCAGATGTTATAAAAAATGCGAGTTTTGACAGCTCTCTCTCGAATCAAAGAGTTTCGTACCATGTTATCTATGATCTATGCACGTCAAATAAACCTAGGGTTATCCATGATGATGCACGTGGTGCAAGTAGTTAAGGTGGGTGTAAAGCTATGTCGAAAAGTTAATTCTCAAATTTTTTTTTTAAACATTGAGTACAAGCCATTATAATTTAATCAGTTTTATATTGCAGAATTGTGGCACCCAGAAGCAATGGAAATTTTAAAGGTAAGCTATACTTAAAACGTTTTCAATTTCTTTAATGTGGAAAAAATTAGTGTTTTCTAATATTATTATACATACATATGTTCTAGACTTTATGGAGCTTTACCAATGTTCCGGCTCCACAATATTCTATCAATTTAGGTAAATATAAATTATTATTAAATGGTTTTGAGACTAGTGATGACAACATAATAGGGACATCTGAAAATCAATGTAAGATTTATCAATTTCTGACTTGTAAAATTCCGGAGTTATATATTTTTTTTTTACTTTCATTACTAAAGACTTTTTACTTGCAGGTGTTGGAGTTTAAATTTCTATGTATAATATGTCTAAAGAACCTGCACCGTATCGTTGTGACGTATGAAGCGTTAATGTATCTAATTATGAAAATTTTTTACAAGAACGTCTGAATATTACTGTGAAAATAAGTATTGCAGACAAAATGGTAAATCTTTTTTCTTTTTAATTGTATGAATTTGGATTTTTTTAATATAATTTTTACTGATGAAATTTTATGATAGGGACATCTGAAAATTATTGGATGATTTATCAAAACGAAAAAAACTGATTATACAGAATTACAATATATAAAAAATGTTTTTAGCTGCGTTCTTAATATTCATAAATATTTTAATATTTTGTTCAGATTAATGTCATTGGTATATAGCATGATTAACCAATCGCCAAGATCTAACAAGGTTTGCTGATTACCATACCCGCATACGATGCAGTGTACGCCATAGACTCGATAAAATAGTCCAGGCGTCATAGTCTGATGGCAAGTTGAGATGTGCACGGAGTAGTTACAAAAAGTGGAAAAACCTTCAACATATACATATTATAAAGCTTTATTTGTACTTTGAAGGATGAAATCGCAGAAAAATACATTAAAAGAATATGTTCGGCAACTAAGGAACTTTGCAGCTCATTAGCCTTATGCGAGAGGAAGGTATATTTAATGTTTATTCGATCATAAGAAATATCTCTGTAATTAATGTATGCTTTCAACATTGTTTACTAGCAATGAATAGACCTGATAAAACCGTTGAGCGTTGAATAAAAAAAAATACACAAATATTCCACTAGATTTGATAATTGCGTTTGTATTTTGGATCACTCTATTTTTTCTTTATTAAATATAAATAGCAAATAATTATAACATATGTTAATGGTGTACAAATTAAACATTCTTTAATTTGCTAATTGTTTTTGTGCATTTGCGATACTTTTGAAATATAGAAAAAACATAAAAGCATTCATATGTATGTACATATACCTTTTCAACTCCTTCGACTGAAAAGCAATATTAATAATCGACAGATGGCTGCTAACCATCCTTGCAAAAGGATCCTTAAACCATATTCGTATTTCAGTTTAACTTAGAGTTAAATAAATAAAAGTTATTAATATCTTGATTTTAAAATGGATCTAATGAGAACACGACAATTGTAATTTAAAACATAAATCGATTTATTCCGCTATTATCTTAACCTGCGGGAACTCTGCCCCTCCCTTGAAACATCATCATTGATTCTGGTCCACGGATAACTCTTGACATTAGTTCCCAGCACACTTTCGCGGGTAATAGACTGTTAAGAAGAGTGTACGTGGAATTTAAAAGTACATACTATTATAGAATTCTTTTTTGAATAGCTTACCATTTCAGTGGAGTAAGTACCCGTATGGTATGAGGTAGCACACACCATACTTCGTTTTTTTGGATAGCTTCAAGTATGCGGTCAGCAACATACTGTGGATGCAACATTGGAAACATTCGTGGTCGTACGCCTGAGAACATACCGGTATTGATATAATAAGGACAAATCAATGTCATGTGTATGCCATCATATCCGTGTGTTTTTAAGTCGGTTAGGAGGCTTTCATGAAACCCAACGCAGGCAAATTTTGTTGCACTATAATCACTACAACCGTAAGTGCCTAACATGCCAGTCACTGAACCCACAGTCACAATATGACCCCTGTTATTTTGCATCATTTGCGGAAGAAATGCTTTCACTGTCCAATAGTGGGAAATTATGTTAATGTTATATGTATGCTGTATAACACGATCAGGTAAGTCCCAGAATGGGCGGCAGCAAACGACACCAGCATTATTGCATAGTATATCGATATTACCTATTTCATTAATAGTTTGTGCCGCTCGCTCATACACTTGGTCACGGTCAGATATATCAACTACATATCCCTTACAGGTATACCCGTTCCGGGCGAGCAAATCCATGGTAGTTTTGATAGCTGAGGAAAAAGTAGATTTATTGTTAAAAATTTTGAATTTATTTCTGGTACACGTAAGTTTTCCAATTAAAAATTTAAGCATTGTATCAGAAAAATAGTTCTAATACTCCGAAATTTAGTGTTAACTAATTCGAGTTTAATAATACATTGACGATTTCGCTCATACCTTCTGGGTTGATGTCCCATACGACCACACGAGCATTTTGTTTGGCAAAGTTCAGGGCCAATAAGCGTCCTACTCCGCCCCCACCGCCAGTGATCAGTACTACTTGTCCTGAAACATTCTACAATTCGAAAGGGAATGTAATTATGAATGTTTCCGAAAATATGTATAGCACATTGTTGCGAAGATATTGATATACAGTACAGTTGTGGTAAATATATATATATACATATATATATGTACATATATGTAGGTAAAGTAGTATCAAATATTTAATCTTTATAATGCTAAATATATAAATATGTGTATATGTATGCATAGCTATTTCGATAATAAAAAGTGAAAGTTGCTAATACTACTACCACCTTTTTTGCTTTTATATGTATATATTGGAATATGAATATCAAAGCATTCATTGCAGCGGTTGGCATTTCATAATTACGAGCTTGTAACTGTTTTTAAACTTTAAAAATCTATTTACTCGGCGACAGTGTGCCGATATTATGGAATGTTTCAGACAAACTGGAAGAGGTTGCGGATTGTTTGACAGTTTTTCGGGTTAAAAAGAATTTGAATTTTTATATTTTCATCTGTGTCTCTCTCGAGTTTGAAAAACCTTTCACAACCATTTTTCTGTACTCAAATGCATATATTTTTCATGTCGGTTTAATTTTTTGTTCTTATACGAAGAAAATAATTCGTTAAATATTAATTATTAAGTGCATCAAAAGCATGTTCATATTCAAAAGTATATACATGTATTCTGCATTAAAAAATTTAAAGGTTTGTTCGTAACGTAAAATAAGCGCGATTGTAGACTGATGTTGCCCATTTTTAAACCGTAAGCCGTTAGGTGAAGGAAACACATTAGCGCTCTGCACAACAAATTACGAGTATAAAAATATGCTTGCCGGGTACACAACTTAATATACAAAAGACACTAAAAAATTGGCTTACTCGGATACTTTTGGAATACTAATTGATTTTGAGCGTTTATATATGGATTATTTGCGTCTTTCCTTCCATTTGTGGCATCCGGATTGGTATTGACTTGGCGTCACTGTTGTTATTTAGTATGCAAAATAACCAACATACGATTTGGTAAAGCATATTTATTCGAAAATTCTATACGCGAACATTCGTGCAGAAACCGTTGGGTGAAAAAGTTAATTTAGCTCACAGCGAATTACTAAAATCCCCTAGGAGCATATCAGTTTTCATTTAAAAATTTTCCAAACTATCTCACAAATGTTTAGCACTATCTAGCTCTATATTCATAAGGTCGTCGATGGGAAACACTATTTATTTACACTTTATTGTTTTCTAATTATTACAATTATAACTATCCCTGACAAAGAATGCTATTACAAATTGTATGCAATTCATTAATATTATAAATGATAGTGTTTCAATTTAGATGTGTAACGAGTTTGTGGCTAAACTCTTCTGTGTTGTCTTGGGTTGTATTATGAATATTTTCTGTAAAGCATATACACACCTTCATTTTCCTCAAATAATTTGGAAGTAGTGAATAATATATGGTTTCGGCGGTAAAATAGGTGGCTTTTACGAGAAACACGAGTAAATCCCAGATGAATTGCAGGATTACGTAGAGAGGGTTATCCATGTGAAGAAGCCGTTGCAGAGATGTGGAGATAGCGCCAAACATGTCACTGCTTCTTTCCTTTAATTAGCCACTTTAGTTTTGTATTCTACTAATTTAAAATTGCAACCCCGGTTTGCGGGATAAATTTGCGAAATATGAATGAAGATTTTCCAAAATAGGTAATGAGAGAAAATCTTCTGATTGCGCATAAAGACACCTCAAACTATAAATCGTTTAATGTTACGTGGATATTGGCAATATTCAAGATTGCAAAAATGGGCTGTTTAGCATGGTTGTATCTAATGGTAAATTTCTCTTCAATGTTATCGAACTTATATATGTATGCTTGAAATGAGACGGCACTTTTAAATATTTATTTCCGCGACACTGTGTGTGATGGCGTCAACATCTTAACAACGACTGAAGTTTAAATTTGGCTTCAAATGAAATTCAACGTCAGAGTATCCACATTTACCGTAGCAGACCGACTTACATACGTGCGTACGGAGTTGTGCCGGCCGCTTAAAAGTGTATTTTTCGAATGTTATAAGCACATTTGCACATGCACAGTAACTAATTAAATTTTCGTGCGATTGCGGTCAATTAAAAATGTCGCAAACGTGGTCCATGTAACATTTCTTTGAATGAAAACAACGCGTGCCGACATGGTCTCGACTTCTTGAGCCACATAAGCTCCACTAATCAGAGGGGTGCTGTAACTGTATCTGTTTTCTAAAAAATCTGATTAAAGCGATTTGATATATGTACATATATAAAATTCAATATATATAAACTTACATCTTTAAGTACATATACATATGTCCAAACATATACAGGTATGTACACATTATGTTTATGTGAGCGGTTTAAACGTACCGTTACTATCAAATGTGATATTTGCGCCTTTAAACGCAAATAACAAATAGTTTCACCTCTTCGTTTCGTGGATTTTCACTGCAAATTAGCACATCTACATACTTACCATAAAGACAAATAAGCGCAACTGACTTGCATACTACCGTTTTTCAATGTTGAGTGTGTTTTTATATGTGTATGTACATAAAATACAGGGCAATCATCTAAAAACTGGTCTATGATTCAAACTGCGATAACTTTACACTACTACCTAAATCCATTTTCATATTCCCTGAGAGGATAATTGTTTCGTTCACTTAACTATAGTTTGTTACGCCTAAAATCAATCGAAATAGAGTTATGTAATTATATAAATATAATAGATAAGGATGGCGAGACGATTTGAATTCCGAGTGGCGGTATGCTCGTCTAAAAAAAGTACTATAACTAAGTCGCAAATTAAGGTACAAAAGAGTATTTTTTTTTACAGGATATTGAAGTATGGAAGGGAATTTGTGGTGTACAAGTTTTTAAAAAGTGGCCTTGGCCGTACCTCTCAAATCACTAAGCCGAAATCGACCGGAATTGCTAAACACCTGGAGCTTTTCCTCATACAGTGCGGAAATAGATAAAATCTGATGGTTAGCCCACCTTCTCCTCATATAAGAGTTTGTTGTTGAAAACTACAAAAGATTTGATAAATCACTATATAAATACGTTAGAAGAATCGGTGTAAAAATTGGACAATAGGCGTGACAGTGCCTACCTTTAGGTGAAATTCCATATCTCAAGTACTACTTGACCGATTTCAACCAAATTTTACATATTTGCTTATATTCGTACTTTGCACTGAAAATTGTTGAAATCGGACAACATGCCTACATTTTTAAACTATAATAAACAAATATCCAATTATAATTAGTTTTGTGTGTCATCGCCAAACAAATACAAGAGAATTCTAGAGTATTGATATGTATTCATCAATAACCCATTTCTATCATCTAAAACTATTAACTATTGAGATTATATAGCTTTCTTCTTCTTCTTAATTGGCGTAGACACCGCTTACGCGATTATAGCCGAGTTAACAACAGCGCGCCAGTCGTTTCTTCTTTTCGCTACGTGGCGCCAATTGGATATTCCAAGCGTAGCCAGGTCCTTCTCCACTTGGTCCTTCCAACGGAGTGGAGGTCTTCCTCTTCYTCTGCTTCCCCCGGCGGGTACTGCGTCGAATACTTTCAGAGCTGGAGTGTTTTTGTCCATTCGGACAACATGACCTAGCCAGCGTAGCCGCTGTCTTTTAATTCGCTGAACTATGTCAATGTCGTCGTATATCTCGTACAGCTCATCGTTCCATCGAATGCGATATTCGCCGTGGTCAACGCGCAAAGGACCATAAATCTTTCGCAGAACTTTTCTCTCGAAAACTCGCAACGCCGACTCATCTGTTATTGTCATCGTCCAAGCCTCTGCACCATATAGGAGGACGGGAATTATGAGTGACTTATAGAGTTTGGTTTTTGTTTGTCGAGAGAGGACTTTGCTTCTCAATTGCCTACTCAGTCCGAAGTAACACCTGTTGGCTTATATAGCTTTACGAAAACAAAATTTTGGAAGTTTTCTAATAACATTTCTAGAGAATTTTCGAAGCTTAGTACGAAACAAAGATACTTGATGGTCCTCAAATACAGCGATTATTGATAGATTTTATTAATCTTATGACCCTTATTTTAGTAGGTAACCATAAATTACCAGATTACGAAGAAATTGAGCAAAATATGCTGAAAATTTTATAGAATCAAGGAGAAGAGTGGAGTATTTAGTTAGACAATCGTCTGAATAAATTTTCGTATAATTTTAGTGATAATAATAAGAAACTGTGAAAGCAGTTCCACTAGGGCCTAAAAAAGATGGAAGAAAAGTTTGTCTGCCATCTGAAAAATTAGAAAAGTAAAGCAAAAAAAATGAGCTTCATTAAAATATAACACATGTTTTCAACATTTTTCTATCTGTTCACTTAAATGTATTCTTATTTTGTATTTTGTAATGGAAAATTTAAAGTAAACTAGGGCAAATTCTTGGAAATTTTAACAAAGTACATATCATTTGCAACGCATCTAAAATATTTCTGATATTGCATCGTATTTTGAAATTCATTAACCCGCATCTGTAGTCAAATTGATGAACTTTCTTCTTAATTGTTCTATTAAAGTATAGTAAAATTGCATTAAATTCAGAAAATTGGGCAAAGAAATGTTCTTATGATGGCAAGAGTATAGTATTTTTTTCTGTATACATATTTCAATGATGTTTGTGACACTATTTTTGATGAAACTGTATAAATTATTTATAATTAAACTATTTTGTTCAACTCCATCCTTTTTTATCGTCATACGCTCGCAAAACCAAAACAGCTAATTGTGAAAGTAAGCGATGCAGTAAGTGTTCTATAACGCTAAATTATACAATGTAGTTTTGTAGTTATACAAGTAAAAACAGTATCGTACTGTATCGATACTTTGCAGTAGTACGTTTTCGAAGTGAGTCATATTCGGTGTTACATGGACTTGAGTTCATTACCCCTCTTATGGTAGACATTTCTTCGACATGGCGACTAATTGCGATAACACAAAACACATATGCATATTGTTTGTTTTTCAATTTTCAATAGTTGCCTATCAAATTACTGTTTTGGATTTGAGCAATTAAACATAACCCTACTGACATTTTTATTAACACAAAGTTTTACGTTCTCAGTTATTTTTCCAAAAATCCTATGGAACATTGAATTATAATTTAAATGAAAGACGAAATATTTTAACTTTGTGTTTCGTTTTTATCATTGCTATTGGAAGATTTTAATGGGACTTTAATTGAGCTTTCGTTGGTTTCCATATTGGAAATTAAAACCTAATTTATTTGAAGTAACCTTCCTGACTCAATAAGTTGTTGTTGTTTATTTGTTTAGAACATGTAGCTGGCAGAGGCACGGCGGGCAAAAAGCAATACAAACACATCTGTGCAATGTGAAGACCCTTATATTGATACATCCGCATCTTATCCCAGCACCTGTAAAAGCGTTTAACAAATGTATTTTCGAGTGCGTTTTGAAGTGTCACCACTGTTTTTTGTAAACTTTCTGTTTCGCGCCGGAGTTGTTTTTCATTATCTGAAGATTTATCAAGTTTACGGGACTTCCTGTAAATGTGAATGATATTAGTGTACTTTTTTCAGGGCGGCAACTTACTCTTTCAAATCATTCAACTGTGCTTCTAGAAGTTTGACCTTGCCATTGGCGCGCTCACAATCAATTTCTTTTCGCACCATTTCTGTTCGATATTTGTCTTCGGTTTCGCGGCTCTCATTTGTTAACTTGTATAGCTGGGAAGATAAAAATGTCTTTGAAATTTCTCTGCCATATGCAAAAACGTAATATTTGGTACGTTTAAGTTTTGGATTACTAATTCGTTAAATATGTAAATAAAAATTAAGCAATTTTTCGAAATCTGTATTCGTTTCAGAATAAATCAATGGAATTGAACAATATCATGTATAAATGAATATCACTTAAATTAATAATAACATTTACGAATGAAACAGAAAGCGAAGAATGCAATAGAAAATATTTTTAAATATGTGCGGTTCTATATGGTAATTGTCGTTATTTACAATCGCAAATGTAACACATAACCGAATCATGCCGATACATACCTCATTTATTAAATTATTTTTTTGATTCTCAAGCACCTTCATCGAGCGTTGTTCCTTGTTAAGAGCAAAGCGTAAATTATGTTGATCTATCATCGACTGAAAAAGCTGTTCTTTGGTTTGGCTTAGTATATCAGTAAGTGCCTCAAGTTCCTTGCTTTTAATTGCCAAATCTTGCTCAAGAAGTACACGTTCCGCTCTTAAACTAATCACATTGGTGTTAAGGTTTTCACAAGAAGACTTTGCCTGCATAACGCTTTCTAACGAACACTTGAGTTGACAAGCGAGCTCATCATTTCGCCTTTGTTCGACCCGAAACAGTGTGTTGTAAACATGAATCTGATTTTTGTCCTTTTGTGACTAATTGAAGATTATACATACATACAAATAATTTGGAAAACATTTTCAGACATGTTTTATTCTTACTCCTTTTTTAAGATCTTCTACTTTCAATAATAAACGTTTCACATCCTCGCGACGACGACGCCAGGCATTCAGCATAATCGTAGCAAAAATGCGCATACTAGCTAATCGAAGCTCAGTATCCGCTTCACAGGTATAATATTCCCCATTTTTTGAGTTTGCACACTTAAGATATAGACTATTGGTTTGCTCTGCGACTATTGGATTATCGCTAGGTGAAAATTCTATATGTCTCGAAATATTAGAAAAGTCGTTAGGAAATTGCTCAGTTATTGAAAAAGTGCTGTGTTCATTTTGAAAATTATCCTTTGACAAACTCAATCTTCCCTTTCGATTGAAGTCTAAGTCCATAGTACCGGTGAACATTACTCCCAACTTCGTGAATCAAAAGGCTAATAAATATCATATAAATTAGATAAATATATTGTTTACATACCGAGGCTTTGGGT